CGCCGTTTGCACGACGGTCGGCCCCCTGCAGGAAGTTGGCCCAAACAAGACGGTCAAGCGCGACATCACGTTGCTCGATGACACCGGCACGATTAGCCTCACACTTTGGGTCGCATACGCCGAAACCGCGAAACCCGAGTGGCAAGGTCAGACCATTCTGGTTCACCAATGCGTCGTCACCGAATATCTCTACGTGAAGTACTTGGCCACTACGTATCGAACCACACTCGATATCGACCCCCCAACACCCGAAGCTACTCGCCTCCGCCAATCGTTGCACGAACAAGGTCGTCTGCCTAGCACCAACTAAAATACATAATCCATATGATTTCATCGTTCCTACCAGCCCACTCCTCCGGACCCTAGTAGCTGTATCGAGCATCGGCATTGGCTGACAAGCATCCGGATTATTGGTAGAAAATCGGCTAAAATTATGGGGCCAATTTCCATACAAAAATCAAATGATTTTAGACGGCATCTAGATTTCTAGTTCAACGGCGATAGAAGGTCAACTTTCGAAAGACAAGGTGATAGTGGAGGCAGAATGCAACGATGGTACGTCTTTCGAAAGTAAACCTCCCCTTTTCCCCGCCTCCCCTTGAAGAAGCACCGTTGGTCGGTCCCCAAAAAGTAAAATCGTCCGCCCGGTTTGCGGTGCATTAAACTGGCGCTAATCAAGAACTGAACGTGAAAAGCACACACCGCACAGATGCTTTGCCGTATAAGTATACCATGTGCCATGAAAAATATCGCAATGGTTCAAGTCTCGGAAGACGAAAGGCAAGCATATCCACGTCGACGCAACCATGGAAGCTTCAACCTTTCCTGCAGAAAGCCCAAGCGAAACGCACAACGGCCAAGTCTGGTTCTATCTATCGTTCGATAAATCTCAGGGCCATCTTCGACCGAATTGGGTTGCGGATAGCTAAGCGTCGTCTTGGTCGTCGTCATAAGACTCCAGCAGGGCAGAGGGGTCGAGTGCGCGCTGGTGCATGGCGCAAAAGCCCATGTCCACGGGAAGCCCCAGTGTCGAGCGCACCAAGAGTCGGGTGCACCCATCGACTTTGCACACTTTGTTGCGCCGGTGGATCGTGCAGAGACCGCCGCCGCGGTCGGTCTGCCCACACGTTTTCACCGAGCAGAGGCGCACGGTACCGTGTTTCGCGCACTTGCCGCCTCGCTGAACACCATTCGTGCACCCGGCGACGGCGCAGAGCTGGACGCCGCCGTGCGTCCGGCAATAGCCGCCACGCTGGGCGCTTTTGTCGCAGTCGTCGTTCTTGCAGCGCGCGCCGCCTCCGTGGGCCTTGCACAGACCGCGCGACTGGGCCGTGCGCACACAGCCTTCTGTCTTGCAGCGTTTCCCGCCGCCGTGCGCAATGCAGAACTGAGCACCGCCCTGACGGCCCTTTGGGCAGTAGGCGACGTTGCAACGCCGACTGCCGCCGTGGGCCTTGCAGTGCCCGCGGTACGTGAGGACGACAGCGCAGTCGGGCGTGAGGCACTGCCCGTGGATCTCTTTGGGCGGCGACGTCTTGACTGGGCGCTTGGCGCCATAGCTCGGCGGTCGCTTCGGAGGCGTTTGATGTGACGTCGCAAATGCAGCTGCGACGCCATTGTCTCTACAGCGAAGTGGGAACCATGAGTTGACGAAGAGACGGGGTTTTGGGCCTACGAGAGCGCGGACGCAACCTCTTGAAAGTCGTCGAGCGCGTCGGGCGACATGGCCCAGTCCATGCTCACAGCGTCGTCGTCCTCGTCGTCACCGAGACTGTGATCTGACCCGGCCATACAAACGTGGAATGGCGGTCTACACGAACGTGTAAGATATACGCGAGCCGCCAGGAATCGAGACAAACCAGCTGTTTGTTGACAGCAGCTGGCAACGGCGCCGCGACAAAAACGTTCCGCGCCGGTATCAAGGCAGAGATGTGTAGGGCCAACACATCTCTCGCCAACACTATTGGCGAGTGTCCTACAAATTGTAGTACTATCAAGTGTGTCAGCCCAACCAGGAGCAAAGGCAGCCCTGCACTTACACGGTATGACGAGAATGCATCGCGTGGATTGGTCAACTGCAGCCGATTTGAGCTGTGGCGGGTTGCGATTGGTCAAAAATCCACTCGACGCGATCCGACAACACAGACTGGGTTGAATCGCACGGGATTGTTGTCCCGTGCGATACCCAGTTTATTTTCTGTTTGTGTAGAAATCAATACAGGACCGAATACCACCTGAGCAAAAAGCTACTTGAAGGTTGGTACAGCAAAGCAAGTGCGTTCTTTTCGTCGTCGTACTGGACCGAGGTTGTCGTCGATGGGCGTATGTTCATGCGACTTGACAAGTTGAACCCTGCGTTTCAAAAAGCGACCTTGTCGAAACCAACCGCCTTGACACCTTGCGAGGGCGTCGGTCTCGAGCGTCTTCGTCTCGATGAGGTTGAGCGCTGGGTTGTACTTCTTTCATTAACCATACGTATTGTTTCCTCGAGTTTTTGTCGAGTTTGGCTTGGCGTGTGGCGAGAAGCGCGTGCAAACGTCATATTTTGGCAGCAAGTCTTTCAGCGTAGATCACTGCAAGGTCCTCTAACAGTTCGTACGCGACGATCCACGAAAAGTCGAGTGTCGAGATATTCACAACGACGTCCATCCTGTCTTTTAAGGTTTCCATATCCTGGCTGTTGACATCAAAATTCGATGCTGCGCCCAACGAGAAGCCGTCCGGGGCTGTCGGGATGTTTGTGCATTCAAAGCTCCTTGGCAGTGCTTGACGATTTTGGCCACATGACTGCTGACCAAGACGCAGATATTCCTCACGTGTAGCCAAGCAGAGACGAGGTATTTTCGATGGCCAATCCACACCAGTCCAAAGATCGGAGAGATCGACCGCAGATCTGGCACCACCCACAATGCGCGAAGAGAGGTTGCTTGAACGATAGCATTCAATCAATTTGGGTGCTATAGCATGGTTCTTTGTATCACGTTAGATGTAGTGCGCTGGCCGCGCGTCGATACTAGTACTGTGCTGGATGGTGTGTGTGTGGTCGGCACACAATTGACTCGTCACGCCCCGTGTGAGCGCCAACTGCTTGCAGCGCGGGTACGTGCACAGCCGCGGCTTGCGGTGCACGACGCACTCGCCACCGCCGCGCGCCGTCTTGGTGCATTCGGCGACATTGCACTTCTGCGTCCCGTTGTGTTTGGCGCACTTGCCGTTGCGCTGGACCATGGTCGTGCAGCCGTCGATTGTGCATTGGCTGCCGCCGCCGTGTCGTCGACAGAGACCCTTGCTCTGCGCGCTCTTGCTGCAATCTGGTATCGTACACCGACTGCCACCGCCGTGCGTCTTGCAGAGGCCTTGGCTCTGCGCGGTGCGCGGGCACCCGATGGTCTTGCACGGCTTGCCGCCGCCGTGCGCAATGCACTTGTTCTTGCCCTGGATTGTCTTGGTGCAGAGCGGCGTGATGCACATGCGCCGGTACCCGTGCTCCTTGCAGAGCCCTTTGTAGCTTAAGTACCGACTGCAGCTGGGTTCGAGACACATGCCGAGCTTCTCTTTGGCCGCAAACGACGACGGCGGCGCGTCCCTCTCCTCGTCTCGGCACTCGGGCGACGGGCGGCGCGCGTCGTGGCCACTGCCGGTACTGTCGACACTGGCATCGTCGGGCAGCATCGACGATGGCGCTGGAAAGTAGCAAGCGTCGTCGGCCGTGTACATGGTCGTGTTGTGGAGATGGGTCGGCGGCGGGTACATGGCCGGATACGGCGGTACATACGCTGGTGCGTACGGGAGGTAGCCGGGCGGCATCGGCGGCATATAGTTGTAGTCGTAGGCGCCGCGCGCATCGTAGTCGTGGTAGGCGCCGGCGTACATGGGGTCGCGGGCGGCGTGTGGCCACTCGAACGCCGGCGCGTATGCCGTCGTCGGCGCCATGGGCCACAAGGCCGTGCTGTAGGCGGCGGCGTCGTCGTAGGTGCGCAGACGTCCATCGTCGTCGTCGTCGTCGTCGCCAGTAGCTAATACTTGCCTCTGTGTCATCTCGGGGATTGGCAGCTACGAATCCTGCTCAGCTGATGGTCCTGTAGAGATGGCATCGGCGCCAGCTGCCGCAACCCAAGCCGCGAATGAAATTGGCCCACGACATGCGTTTTGTATCGCATTTAAAGAAACGAGTGGGACAGATACGCCCCGCGGTAAACGTCGGACAGGGCGCAGACTCACTCGG